TTGCTTGCTTGCTTGAATTCAATCAATCAATCAACCAATCAGTCAATCAATCAACCAATCAGCCAATCAATCAATCAATCAATCAATCACTCAACCAACCAACCAATCAATCACTCAACCAACCAACCAACCAACCAACCAATCAATCAATCTGTACTCGGTACTGTGTTGCTGTTGCAATCAAATTTGAAATCTCACGTGGTGTGGGTAAACGCTTCCAAAATTTTGATTCCGGCCAAAATTTTTATTCCGGCGAAGCTTCTTCAAGAAGTGATTCTTGTTCATCTAACACCCCCCCTTCGTTTATCTTGACCTCTTCAATCTCCAAGTTGTTGGGGGGGGGGGAAGGGGGAGGAATGTTTTTAAGAAGTGGGGGAGGGGGGCGGAAGGGGGAGGAATGTTTTTAAGAAAAAAGGGTGGGGGGGGTGAATGTTGTTAAGAACTTTTGTGTACAGTGTACGCTAATTTTGTCTTTTGTATGCATGTCGTGAACGCAACAAATTGTGAATTTTGCGGCTTTGTGTTTTTATGCGACTATTATTGAGTTTCTATTATTGCGGCTTTGTGTTTTTATGCGACTATTATTGAGTTTCTAACGTATCTTCCCTGATTGGTAATGCATTCGGTGAATCGAGGTCGGGGTTCACAATAGTACTCCAATCCCCAGGTGTGATAAGATTTTTCCACGTCGCGGCGGTTCCAAGAAGGCAGAGAGGCAAAAACAAAAGGTTGTTCTTTCCTTGTATTCCACCGAGGCATAGATCGACAGACTATAATGCCCAGTCCTCATTTTCAACAGCAATTTTAACCCACACAACTCTTCCCCTATGATCAATAAAAAGAAATCAATAATCTCAATGTCAAAATCTTTATGGAAAAGAATGGCCACGCCACCCCAAGGCCCCTCTGCTGGGGCCCAAAATTGCGGCCCCTTCCACCGTCTTTTCGCTTCCTCTATCTTATTTAGGTTCAGCTTGGTCTCCTGCAAGCATGTTATGTGAATTTCCTGCGAATATAGCCATGCTGCGAGACTATCTTGCTTAATTTTATTTATTGTATCTCCCAATCCTCTGACATTCCAGCTCACAACCCTAACCTTGTCGGGCAAGACCATCCCGCTGGTCGTCGCCAAAATTTCGTAAATATCATAAAGGAAGAAGCGAAGGCTCCCACGCGGCGGCACGACTAAAATATGGGGGCTCGTTAGACACTCCTTGGGCGTGTAAAGTCCCCGAGGAATTGTCCGTTCCACCTATCCTCGGGGATGCAGTCGGCAAAAAAAAGTGAAAACACTCCGAAGGAAATTCCTTGGGCTCCGAGGATTCCCCAGCCATTTCTTCTTGTCGCCCAAGGGACCTCACGAGGTCCCTTGGGCAAAAGGAATCCGCGTTTCACGGAGAGGAGCGGCCACATGGGTAGAGAGACATTACAACCGAGAATCTGGATCGCGGCGGCACCCTATTGGCTGAAGGCCTCAAACACATTTGATTTTTTTTTTCTTTTCTTTTTTCTTGTCTGACATGGTTCAAAGGAAATGTCCTCGGGCGACGTCCCCGAGGACAGGTGGAACGATGGTGGGAATTCCCTTGAAAACCCCCAAGGAAACTTCCTTCGGCCCTGAGGACGCCCCAAGGAGTGTCGAACGAGCCCCATGGTCTTAAAAGTTGTGAAGCAGGTCGCATATCGTATCAAGGAATTGAAGCGGCGCGTCGTGCCATCACGAGGTGTGGATGCGTAAACCAGGAGACACAGTGTCCTTTTTTTCGTCGGACTTTTTGAGATCGGTCTCATCTATGTTGGCATCGATTGCCCATTGCTGCAGAGTAATCCCGGTTACCATTAACTACTCTCGAACGTCAGTGGTTCAACCATTCTGCGACATGCAAGGCAGGTAGTAAGTCGAGGCCCAGTCAAAATATCACTGAATCGAGCAATGTCAAGTGCAAAAAAGGGGTCACTGGAAGCCAACGAGTATTCAGCCATAACCACTTTTCTCACTAGTCCCTTCCAGGGAAGTTGGGTTAAAAAAGGGCTAGATGTAGGATGATCGTATTTCCTCCCGGAGGGACCACCACATGTCTGCCCATCTTCGGCTCCAACATAAAATGAAATCGTCCCGTGCCCTTCAGAACCACGGACTTTTTTTTTTTGGGGGGGGGGGGGGGGGGAACAAATGCTCCAGTCTATTCGTGGGGAGCAGCACGTGCTGGGAACCGGGCCCAGCGTCCCATATAGAGTTACAAAAGTCATTTGAGATACTGGGGCCATTACCCGGCTTCAATTGAGAATCAATCTAAGAACTATTGAAGAAATTCAAGAGAAGAGGTTGAAAAAGTATGAATGAGTACTAACCTCTTTTGGAATGCTCAGAACCCCTAAACTGCCAAACAAAACTCTCTGAAACTATCCAACACTGTCTTATTCCCAGTCGAGCTCTCCCAGGCCTCACACTCCCACCCGGCTTCAGAACCACGGACTGCGCCAGACTGACCACCTTTTCTTCCTATGGCTGGTGGAGAACTATTATGGAGGGAATTTCTAAAACGCGTTGGGCTCTGTCTTTTCTAGACGGAGTCTTCAGGGGAGCAGAGAACCTTGCTTACCTACCCGACTACTACCCGCTCTTTTCCGTTTATCTGATGGGCCAAGTTCTGGTCCGTCCTCCGCGCGGACTGCACCTTCCTCAAAATGTTTCCGAAAGATGCTGGATCCATCGTCGAATAATTTGTTTTTCTTGGTCGGACCTGCCCGCACGGAGGGGGAGGCATAGTGCCGATTCCCATCTTACAAAGCTTCTTGCGCCTTCCGGCTCGTTTTATTCGATGTCTTCGATATTTTAGGACCAAGCTTCTGTATTGAACCCTTGGCGTTAAATAACAGATTGAGAGTTACACCATCTAAAGCCTCCTCGTCTGGCTGTCCCTGTCCTGTCCCTGTTTCAGGTTGGGTTTCAGTGCCAACTTGAGGTGACAGGGACAGCCAGACGAGGAGGCCTCAAGAAATTGACGTGGCGGCTGGATACTGGTTGTGAACAGAAGGATCATCTCCTTGGAGGGGGGTGAATCCCAGGGCTTCTGAATCTAGTTTATTAAACCACCAGTACGTGGCCCAGCTATCGATGCCGAGCCTGGAATGCCCCTGCGCACCGATTTTCGCCTAAGCACTGGGGTACCGTTTCGAAACTGTTTTGGCTGGCGCTTCCAGCCACTGAGGTCCGGTACCCCGAAGCCCTAAAGGCGCGGCGCGTTAACGGGGAAAGCGTCGCGGCCGATAGCTGGGCCAAGTACTGGTGGTTTAACTAGTTTCTTGAGGCCTGAGATATCCTCCTCCTGTGTTATTTTGGTATCAGTCTCCTTCCCATTTTGGTATCCTCCCCCTTACCGACTTGGCCCCTCCTGCTTCCTTCTCCTTCTCCAAAACCTTCGAAACCCCAGGCCGCTGAACAACGGGAGCCGTGACAAGGCAATCACAACCACCTATAGCGCTTGCCTGGATAAGCTCCACTGAATAACCGACGTCACTAAAAAATGCCACCTAGACCGGGAAGACACTGTCCAGATTAGTGTCAAACCTAACCCTAATCCTCCCTGTGAGCTGTTGAAGTGGCGCTTAATGCAGGCGAAGGTTAGTGCTAGTGCACCGATTAGCACTACCGGTAGCGTTGCAGCCCCTTGAATCCCGCGTACCCTTTTTTTAAGAATAGTACGCAATATGAACCAGAAACGCAGCTGAATACAGGGCCTATCGACTAGGACTCCAGTGTTGGCCGAATGCTGAGATCATGCCCCATGTGAGGAGGTTTCGTCCCGACCTTGAGTATACATGGGCCACTGTGAGAGCACGTTGAAAAATGCTCGAACAATAACTAAACCATAACAAGTGCGGCACCCTCCCTGGGCCCGGCCGCGCGCTGCGCTACTTGCACTTGAGCAACTGCACTTCCCAAAGCTGCGCAACTGAGCAGTCCGCCGAGCGCCACAACAACAGTTGGCTTGGTGCGGCAAGGTGATCCTTCCCCCTTCTTCCATTGCTTTTTCTTGTCGTCCCTCTTCACCTCTCTGTTAGTCTCCTCCTCATCTCCTTTGTCCCCTCTTCTCCTCCCCATCTTCTCTTTCTCCTCTTCCTGCTCCTCGTCCTCTCTCTTCTCCTTCCTGTCTTTGCTCCCCTCAGCTCCTGCGTCCCCTCCTCCTGATCTCCTCCCTCCTTCCCCTCCTTGTCTTCTAAATCGCTTCTCTGCTCTGCTCCTGCTTCTGTGTTCCTGGTTCTCATTTTTCTTTCACTTTTCTTTCTCCATCTCGAGTTCTTTTTTTCACTCCACGCCTTCTCTCTCTCTCTCTCTCTCTCTCTCTCTCTCTCTCTCTCTCTCTCTCTCTCTCTCTCTCTCTCTCTCTCTCTCTCTCTCTCTCTCTTTCTCTCTCTCTCTCTCTCTCCTCCTCTCTCTCTCTCTCTCTCTCTCTCTCTCTCTCTCTCTCTCTCTCTCTCTCTCTCTCTCTCTCTCTCTCTCTCTCTCTCTCTCTCTCTCTCTTTGTGTGTGTGTGTGTGTGTGTATACTTTCCTGTACCTTCTCTTATCGACTCGTTGTCTTCCTCTACACTATGGGGGTGTATATATAGAGAGGAGAGCAAGTTCGACTGATGAGGAGGAGGAGGAGGAAGAGGAACGATTGAGAGGAGGAAGTTCAACTACATGTACAGGTCTCCCGGTGCAAGAAGTCCTTCAGCAACGACTGTTGTCGAAAATGAACCAAAAGACCTAACACTTTAGTCGACCTCCTCAGTCTTTTCCCCAGAGCTCCTCTCATCCCTAGCGAAGCCTCCAGGCATGTCCGCACCCGCTCCGGCACTATACATCTTTGCCATTATTGGGTTGCATAGATTCTCCGTCTCCTTCATTTTATCGTCAAACTCGTCGACGGTGGCCTCAACTGCTTTCTCGAGTTTTTTCTTGTCTGCAGGGTCAGCTTCGATGCAACCTTCCCTGATGGTGTTCCTCATGTTGTACACGTAGTTTTCCAGACGGTTTTTCGACTTGACCTTCTTCTTGTGCTCTTCATCCTCCGCCTTGTACTTCTCCTCATCGTGCACCATCTTCGATCTCCTCCTCCTTTGACAGACGACCCTTGATTTTGTTCTTGCTTCCAGTCGTTTTGTCCTCCGCAGAGACATTCAGAATATCGTTGGCATCAATGTCGAAGCACACATTAATTTGAGGAACTCCTTTGGGCGCCGAAGGAATGCCAGGCAGATCAAACTTGCCCAGAAGGTTGTTGTCCCTTGTGCAAGATCGCTCACCTGTGTACACCTGGATCAACACACCGGGATGGCTGTCCGAGTAGGTGAAGAACACCTGCTCCTTCTTCGTGGGGATTGTCGTGTTCCTTGGAATCAGCACAGTCATCACACCGCCCGCCGTCTCCAAACCCAGACTGAGAGGCGTGACATCAAGCAGAAGGAGGTCCTGAACCTTCTCATTCCCGTTGCCACTCAAAATGGCGGCCTGCACGGCAGCGCCATACGCAACAGCCTCGTCGGGGTTAATGCTCTTGCAAAGCTCCTTGCCGTTCAAGAAATCTTCGAGCAGCCGCTGCACTTTGGGAATGCGGGTGGAGCCGCCTACCAACACCGCCTAGTGCACCGGCAACTTGTCCATCTTCGCATCTCGCAAGCACTTCTCAACGGGTTCCATGCACTTCTTGAACAAGTCCATGTTTGACTCCACGATCACGAGGGCACGATTCAAGGACGACACAGTTCTCTCTGCTCGTGGCAAGTCGTCCTTAGTCTTCTTAGCGCCCTGCGCTTCCTCTTCAACTCCTGCACGAAGTGGTTCACCATTAGGTTATCGAAATCTTCACCGCCAAGATGCGTTGTGACGAACCATTTTCTATGATCGCGCGACTTTTTGCGCAAAGCTGCCTTGGGGAAATGAGACGTGTCGGATGGGTGAGCTGCGGAGAAGATGGGTTGGTCGGGCTGATTGCATGGATGCCCTTGTTTTTTTTTGTTTCCTCTGGAAATCTGTCGGGTCGGTGTCGGAAAAGTCCCGCGTCAACGGTTGGGTAACCGCGCCTTAACAAGCGCGACGGACAACGGTTGTCATGACTTCTTTCTTGCTCTGTTGTGAGCATTAGGAATTTTTGGCGCAATCACCGTGCTGTGAATTTTCAACTGACGTCGAGTCCCCACGAGCTCGTGGAATTGTTTTGGGGCTTTTCGGAATTTCCTTTTGCAATTTGGATTTAGGCACTTTGAATTTTCGCTGCGCCACGCTTCTCATTCGCGCACATCCTGTTGCACAGAGAACTGGGTTCTGACTGGGGCGCGCCCTTAATCTTGTGTAACTGTCGCTTTTGGCGGGCGCAAGTGTAACTATATCCTCCTTCCTTCTTGATTTCCTCGTGTTTGCTAGCCTTCTCTTTCTTCTCCGCCTTGCATACTCTGTTCTAATTGGCCTGAACGCCTGTATGACCGGATCGATGCGTGAAGTGTGGCTGCGACCCCCACGCCGCGGCCTGGCCATGCAGACGCAGGCACTTCCTCTGTTCCCCTCTTCTTTCTTGGGCTTAATCCCATATCTTTCGCGCAAGCATGCATGCTATAAATTTCGCAAGCGCGACTGGATTGCTCTCTATGGATCTTGGAGTTAGCGCGATCAGTGAGGGTTGGCTAACGAGTCGGGAGTTAGCGCGATCAGTGAGGGTCGGCTAACGAGTCAGCCTGAGAGGTGAGTCGACGAGGGAGTTGGGCGATCCGACGAGCTGGTGTCGGGTATGCGGGGTTGACGTGCGGGCTGCGACGGAGTGTGGCGCACAGACGAACCTGACTTGCATGCTCGAACTAAGCGGGGTGACAACTCTTTGTTGATACGCGGCGACGGACTGCCCGTATCGGGGGTGTAGAGCAGAGAGAGAGAGAGAGAGAGAGAGAGAGAGAGAGAGAGAGAGAGAGAGAGAGAGAGAGAGAGAGAGAGAGAGAGAGAGAGAGAGAGCAACTGTGTGTGCAAGATGAGGTCCCTTCTTTTGCTTATCTATATAATTTTGGTTCCTACTATGGATGATTTTGTTGCGGCCTTTTCGGATTTTTCCTTGTAAATTGTCGCGGATTTTCTTTGTCGCCTTTGCCTCGTGTGTATGCATGGAATGGATGTGAACTCTTTTTCGTTAGTGATCTTTTCGGATTTCCAATCTTGTTTTGCGATGCCTGTTTTATTCAAATTTCTTCACCTTCTATTACCCATATGCATGAGCAATACTCTCAGGTTTGATTGGAAGCACTCGCTATGAAGGTTTGGGTTTAATCGTTAGTCATTGATCGTCATCAGATCACCAAGAATGTTGTGAGGTGTTGATTGTCTTTTCCCCCTCTTTCTCCTTTTCGTCTTATGAATGGCATGGATGTGAATGTAATGTCTGGATCTCACCCAACATAGTATGGATAGGATAGTCGCATGCATGTAGGACACAATCGCTACCTCGACACGAGAAACCCGAGTCCGATTCGTTTCCGCTCACGTGCACACTCACATACGACCGCGATCTCGAGAAAACTGAGTCACAGCGTACGCGCACGTCTGCATGAGTCGACCTCGAATTCATCATAAGGATGTGGGAAACCAAATTCACTAGTCAGATATGGCTGTGGGAATTCCCTTTTGTATCATCGATCGTGAAAGCCTGAGGGACTCGAAGTATCACGAGTATTGGGAAGGCGAACAACTCAGACGGTGGGGAAACTTAAGAAACCCGGAATTCTTCTGTCTGGCGGAGAACGACCAACTGTGCGCAGGGGATTTCCACTGGGCCATAACCAGCGATCCTAGGGACCCAGACTATCCAGATACTGACAACACTCAATATTACATATCTCTGGGCTTCGTCGTTATTAATACCAGTTTCCCTCCCTTCCATCTCCTCCTTCCATATCACCAGCTCACAGTGGTGTCGTGGAATTCAATAGCTCGCTATTGGCCTCGCCCATCGTGCGAAGAGTGGCAGCGGCACAGGGCGTACCAGGCTTCGGGATTTATATGACGAACCCGAACCGAAGCCGAGCAGTGATTACACAACCTCCGCTTACGGCCAGCCTCGTCGGATTCCGAAGCTTGTTACGAGCGGCGCCGACAACTGTTTGAACAACGCAACAACCATGGTGTCCCACCGATCCACCGGATAAGGGACCGACCGCGTTGACGCAACTGGCCGAGACCATAGTTCCATTCATGAAGGCTGAAACGCCAGATACGATCTTCGCATACCATCTTGCACCGTTGTCCCTAAACTTGCCACCAGAGATCTCAGTTCCGGCCTGGGACTCCACCCCCACTTTCCTGAAATCCTTGGCACACCCCCTTTTTCGCACTTCCAGGCCCCCATCCCACTCCGATCAGGAAGTCGCGTTGGGCGTGAGGTTGGGCGTCACAGCGTGTCTCCCGTCGTCGCCTTCACCTCAAAGATCCCTTTCTCGATGGTCAACATGGACACATCGAAGGTATCGCGGCCAAGATCGAAGATCATCACGTTCTTCTCACCGACACTGGTGGACTTCTTGTAAAAACCGTATGCAATGGCAACTAACGTTGGCTCGTTGACGATTCTCATCACGTTCAACCCAGAGATAACACCAACATCCTTCGTCGCCTGTCTTTGAGAGTCATTGAAGGACGCGGGCACAGTGATCACGACGTTCTTAACAGTCATACCGAGGAAAACCTCCACAATCTCCTTCATCTTGGTCAACACCATAGACAACACCTCCTTGGCAGCGAACTGCTTCCTCTCACCCCTATACGTCACACCAATCAAAGGCTTTCTGCTCGGACCCTCGACAACTTCGAAAGGCCATAGTTTTATGTCACCCTGTACAGAGGTATCATTGAACTTCCTCCCAATTAGCCACTTTGCATCGAAGATGGTGTTCATAGGATTCATCACCACCTAATTCTTCGCAGCATCACCGATAAGACGCTCCGTATCCGTGAGTGCCACATAGGAAGGAGTACCCTTATCATTTGCAATAATCTCCACATGATCATGTTGCCATACGTCGACACAGTTGTACATCATTCCTAGATCGATTCTAATAGCAGGTCCTTCGCCTTTTCTCGTCATGCTACCCTCTCTCTATAAGCTCCAACTCCGCCTGCCATGCAAGCAGCCTTGTCTTTCTCCCGGTTCCTTCTATTCTTTCGCGAAAAGATATGCCGCCTTCACTCCTCGACGCACGTGTGTTTGTAACACCAAACATGAAAAACTACTCTCGCTGCGGCGAATTTTGGTCCGAACACCAAAGATAAAAAACTGCACTCGCCGCGGCAGTTTTTGGCAGGGAGACTGACGAGCCAGGGGTTGGCTGCGAGAGGGAGGCATGCAACCGCCTCCCAGCACTCCGCCGCACATCAAATGTTCAAAAGACAAAATGCATGGCGGGTGTATCTCGCCATGGTGTAGCGGAAGATCCGCGAGTGATTCTCCATTTATATGTTATGTGGGTGAAGTGTGGCGGGAAACAAAATGGCGGGGGAGAAAGGAGCCAATGGTTGTTGCGAAGGTCTGAGTCACTTTCAACTACTCCAAAATTTGCAAAATGCCAACAACCCTACCTAGCATAGTCGGTACAGCCATGAAGTGTTGAAGCAAAGATCAGAGTTCGAATCCAGATGCAGTAAAAAAAACTACATTCTTCTGAATTTTGTTTTCTTTCCTCTCTCAAAAATACTCGGAAATTTCATACATGTACCTTACACCCAACGAACTTACTGAAAGCATCATCAGACGTGGAACTTCCTTAGCGTCTGAATCTCGACGTGTTTGTGGAGATGTGTGGTTGAGGAAACTAGTATTTTCTGCACATCTCCACAAACACGTCCAAATTTGGGCGTTAATGACACTCAACGCTGCGAGTGGGACTTGACCCCCAGGCGAACTTACTAGAAGCATCATCAACTAAGGGTCCAGTTGCACAATTCGCTGTCTGCCAAAATTTTGAATGAATCAATGATGATATCTCAAAACAAGAAAGAAAAAGAGGGGCAAAATTTGCAAAATGGCGGGTCCAGAAAAGGCATTGGGCGGCATGCCTCATATTGGTGGACATAGATTCTCTGACGACGTGGATTCGTTTTAGGCAACTCTTTGGCCTGGCTATAATATATTTCTTTCCATAGTTTTTGAGTTGTGGCTCTGGCTTGTAGTTTGCCACAGGGGTGAGGCTCCATCCTGAGATTCGGTCAAGGCCATAGGACCTTTTTTTTCTCGCCGTTTTACACTCCTCCTCCGGCAGCAGCTAGATGCACCGCCAAAACTATGCTCGCGCGGCCGATAGTTGGTAAAGGTACTGGTGGTTTAAGTATTGACATTCATTAGGAAAAGAACGAACCCGGGTCTGGGGCCATTACCCAGTTTAGGCTAAGCTGGAAACCAGGTCCAGCGTCCCTCATACTTCCACCCTAACTCTTGCAATAACATCCTAACTACATTTCAGGTATCTTGCAGTTGGAGACAAACCCAGTAGATTACCACAACACGGCCTACACAGACCCTATATTGAACTGGCTCCAAAACCTATCCGAACCGGAGACTAGTCTAACAAATTACTAAATCTGCAAATTCTACTTGTGTGGAAATGTTCCTCAATGTCGTGTGTCCAACTAATCTAAAGTAGCCTTGTGATGATCTATCTTCTAATAGGTGCGACTTTCTGCGCGATTGAACCTTGGGGTGGTCAGATGGGCCTAAGGGTCAATTGCATGAATGCCCCCATTCTTTTTCTTCCTCTGTTTTGCGAGAGCTTGGTCTGACAGTTGTTGGTGGCAGGATGCGCCTTAGCGAGCGCGGGAATAACAAATGACACAACTTTTTCTTTTCTGGGGGGGGAATTTGGGCAAGCAGCTTTGGCACGATCATCGCACGGGGGGATCTTTTTGAATTTTTTAAATCTTTGGAAAGAATGCAGGAGACCCCAGAAGTATTCGGAATTAGGACTCTAATTAGATTAGGATTTTAGGGACATCGTATTTTTTTTTGTAACTGCACAATGCTCCTTACTCGTGCGAGTTTTGCTGCGCTATGATCTGCACTCTATTCCCGCTACACCTTAATTCTAATCTCAACTGTAATTTTTTCTTGTTCCTTTCTTGGCGAGTGCGGGTGTAATTGTAATCTTCTCCTCACGGTTTCTCTTCACGTTGAAATGCAGCCCCCTCCCCTTCGCCTCATTGGCCAGAGCCGTGCATGCCTGGATAGATGTGTGGAGAGTGGCTATGTCCCCCATGCCGTGGCCCAGGCATGCTGACTGTAGGCACCTCCTTCCTTTCTCTCCCCCCCTGCCTTAGCGTAATCTCGACTATCTCGCGCAAATACTAATTGCAATAAATTTCGCAAGCGCAACTAAATCACTCTCTAATCTTAACTTGGGGGAGTTAGCGAGGTCGAGAGGATCGACTAACGAGTCTGAGCATGCAAAGAGGTGAGTTTGGAGTTGGGCGATCCGACGAGCAGATGGCAAGTGCGTGGGGTTGATGTGTGGCCGCGACGGACTGTGGAGCACGGACGAACCCGACGTGCGTAGTCGGGCTAAGTGTGATAACAACTCTGGGTTGTTGGTAGGTGCGAGGCGGCGGACTATGTGCATCGGAGTAAGGAGGAGGATGGTGAAGCAGTGAGAGCGCGTGGCGCGCTGGGGTGTGTGGGGACTTTTCTCCTTGCCTTCTAAAAAATTAGTTTCGGCTTTCGTCATTTTTGCCTTTGCAATTTCGGACTTTTGGAAGATTGTGTGGATCCCTTCTTTCTTCAGAGTTTCTCTAGTAGTTCTTTCCTTTTATGGATGATGTTATGTGTGATGATTGCGGCTTGATTGTCTCAATTTTGTATGCATAATTCCTATTTATGTCGGAAGATTGAATGATTGGGGAACGTGGATGCATGCATGACCTTAGTCCGGTGGAATTGAAGGGAAATAGCGAACGTAGTCGCCTCGAGTTGCTTTGTGAACAGATTTTGTGCCACGTGAATATGTTACAGTCAGCTAGTAAAACGACCCGTCATGTATAAGCACGCTTGCATAAGTCGCCCACGTCTGGGCTGTACTACGGGTATACTTCTGCATGGATAGGAATGACTGCATTAATGTGAATTCGTGGCATGAAATTCGGTGTCCCCTTTCGATTAACAGATAGCGACTACTTCTACCGAACGTCGGGCTTCGTCCGGTGGACTCGTACCGAGGCTGAGCATCGAGAACACAACCTTCGACCGAGACCGTCCACGTCAGACTCTGAGATCTGTGAATCTCATTTGAGCAGAAAGATACCCATTGTGTTCCTTCCGTATATCGCATACAGACCCATCCTGGGCGCCAAAACCGGCCATCCTGAGTACCCGGCCATGAAAGCCGCAAACTGAGAAAGCCCCCTTTCATCTGAACCTCTTTGCATTTTTGTCCTTGGAGCCTTGACACAGGAGATCCCAGTTCTGACCTAGGACTCCACCCCCCTTTCCTAAAATCCTTGGCACACCCCTTTTTCCCAACTTCCGGGCCCGCTCCCACTCCAATCAGGAAGTCGCACTGGGCGTGAGGTTAGGGCGTCACAACCTTGAGAAGGGGCTACCATATACACACCCATAGTGCATTTACTGCTAAAATACAGAATGTTACAATTTTGGCCTTAACCAGGGAACTAAGACTTAAAAAAAAAAAAAAAAAAAAAAAAAAAAAAAAAAAA